AGATAGGATTTATCATCCTAAATAAGAAGAAATGATGAAACATGATTAGCTCTTTCCAGGGAGGGATGTAGGCGGCCCCCCGCAATTAAAGCCGACACCATATTACCTGGTAGAGACCATATCATGCCGAAAAGATAGCATGCAAACGGAAGCGGGAGGCTCATTTTTGCCAGCACTTGCCAATACAATAAACGTTAAACCATTTATTTCAACCTGATGGAAACCCTCGAGAAAGGAGCCTTGCAAATGAGCGTGGAACTATTTCCGGTGGCTTGCAGGGCCTGGAAAACGTAGGCTTCCCCCCACCCCCCACCCCTTGAGAATTACCCATGAACATAGGAAACACAAAACAAACCCTCACATCGCTTTACCCACCAGTTCCGTGTATTTCTCCTTCTTAATTACTGATGGTGGGGGGAAGGAACTCCTTTTTAATACCCCATGCTGTCTTTTCTTTATAGCGATTGTTACTCGGCCAGGAAAAAGGACCGAGCACAACACACCCGGTTTCTAGCTGAATAAGGATACTTCTGATGGCCTTTTCATTCCCATCAGTTAACAGAACTTCTTTGACATCGGCAGAAATAGCAACCTGAAAAAAAGAGAGAGCGAGTGGGAGAGAGAGGGAGCACAGCAAACAATGAGCAAATATGCTTGTCTGTGTGGAAGGGACGACGGGAGTGACAACCCTTCAGTATCATGCTTCCTCACCTATTTCTCTGTAACAGTCTTCAATCTTTTTTCATTTTATGTCTGCATTATTTTAATCATTCAATCAAATCAGTCAATACTTTTATCATTCCATTTGCGGGAGCCTCTATCTTGCTATCATTCTGTTCGGTAATTGCATTGTGACAGCGGATGATGGTATTCTGAGAGGCTTTCATTTGTGGGCTTCTGTTTATCTAGTAGAGCCATCATACAAGGCTGTCACTCCGCCTTTCAGCTTGCTTCTGTCTGACTGCCTGATGCCCTTCATATAACTTTGCATTGCAGGCAGATGGCTTTGTGAGGGTAATTTTTTTGTGAGCTTTGACATGCTCGCACATTGGGCTGTAACCTCGACACATTGTATAAGAGCGACAGGTTTGTCAAATGCCAATCAGTGTAACAATATGCTTTTATTTGTAGAGACATAAAAACTTGTCTAATGCACTATGCCGCTACATAATATCTCCTGAATACATGACTCAGAACCCAGAGAATGGGGAACGACGCTCCTGAATGGCCAATCTAATTCAAAAGAATCTAATTACTGAGCGCTCTGGATCATGTTTGTTGGTGTAATAATGCAGGCAAAACATTAGCAGCTATATCATGGTGCTCCAACTGTGATTTGCCAGGCTATTCCTGTATCTTCGCAAATGGGGCTATAATCTGAAAGGGGGGGGGGGGGAGAACTGCCTTTGCTATGGCAAAGAAAGACCGTGCGAGGCCCGGAATGTCACAACAAGCGATATTGACTGCACTGAGGTAAAATGTTTCTGCTCATCGAGGCAACCATAAAATCAATATGATCCCAAAGTCAGTCAATCTAGAAGGTCTCTCAAGACCCGGCGGCTTGCCCGCAGCTGACGCTGTTGGGCGGTTCTCTGACCCAGCAGTTGGAGGCCCTGGAACATTCTCCCTTTTGTTCCTCCCTCTGAATGGGATTGGAATTGAGAAAAGACCTACCATGAGCCCAGCCAAGCATGTCATGCCACCCCCTAGCTCACACACAGCAAGGTCTCTGCAAGAGAGAAAAGAAATGATAGAACCCATACAAATTAGATGAAAATGGTCAGAGGGATAGATATGTTACAAGAACAAATTGCCATCTGCGGTGAGGACGGCGCTACCAGGAAGTTGTGGGGACATGGCTGAGCTGCCGCATGTCGTTTTGCGTTTTAAAAATAATTATGAAATAGAAAAGTCACAAAGCAGGCAAACCAGTGGGGGTTCCCTCATTAGTGTTCACTGCCACATTACCACCGCTGAGCTGAAAAATCCGAGAAGGTCCCCTTTTCTCCTTGCCAATGGCGCTTGTCTTTCAGAACTAAACTAGCTAAGTAGCGAAAGAGAATTGTGAGGAAAGGGTAACACTGTTAATCCACATTCATGACTTCAAAACCAGTTAGACAAGTAAATGAATATATAGGAGTGTGTACATACCTATCTTATAGTCACATACACACAACACACACAAATAAACACCATCCCGACTTATTTATTTTTTAATTCGAAAACAAAACTTCCGCACTTTTGGAAAGCCCAACCGCCCCCATAAAGAACAATTAGCCACAGAGAGCATTTAGCAATTAACACTTAAATCACAATTGACCCCAGCACAACACAGCAGCGGGTAAACAATGCTGGAGCATAATATGGGTGAGCCAGCCAACCCGGCTGAAGGAAAGCCGGGCCTCTGACTTCACCCCTCCGCGCGTTGGAGCTGACAGGCCCTGGCGGGCTCTGCACTTACCTTCCCCCTCTGGGCGCCAACAGCAACCCTCAACGTGGGGCGTTCTCGCCCAGGGCCACCCCTCTCCAACTGCAGCGCCAGTCTGGCTTGAAGCACAGTGAGATGAGCAAATGCCAGGTTTCTGGGGCAGCCTAAATCCCAAAGTGCTCGGTTCTTATTTTACATGCTTGGAGTCTGATGGTTGTTTTTTATTCCCAGTTTGGGAAATGTATTCTCTTAGAAGGAGGAAAAAAGCCAGACTAAATGAGCAGGGGGCGGGGGGAAGAGTTGGGGTGGGGAGAAAGAAAGCTAAGGAGGGACATTCACATTTTAAAATACACTTAATGAGCATTTAGTTATTTAAAGCAATTATAGATTACATAGTAACTATGGACCACTAGGACTTCAAAGAAATGCATAATATTGACCCAACCTGGTAAATACATATTGTTAAAACACACACCACGATCCTTACTGACTTGTCTGGAATCAGAATGAGATATTTAGGATGTACAATAGGAGTTTTAAAAAATGGGAATGAAAATAAAAACCCTATATTTACTGGGTCTACCCAACATCTTTTGCATTTTCAATTAAAAGACGGTGGTTATTTGTTCTTGTTTTGGGCGTTGATATTTTCTTCTTCCTAAATTCCATAGAATTTGATCTATAACAGTTATTTCCATAGGATAAATCTGTACCAGTAAGTAATACATTATAAATACAAACAGTTAACTCTATAAACTTATCTCTAAAACCCAGGGTGGGAAGGCACCTTCGAATAATCGCTGTAGAGTATTTTTAAAAAAAATCAAATATTCTGTGGTGACTGTCCTCAAAGAAGTTTAAAGAACATCTTTATTGTCTGGGGGTTGGTGGGGTTTTTTTTGACCTTCACAATCAGTAAGGATTGATTGGAACTTCACTTTTGTTTCCCCGAAATCAAAGTGAAATAAAATGCTTTGAGCAAAAATCAAAAGCATTTGACATCTAGCAAAAAGCTTGCTGTGCAATATTAGGGCCCAAAGGCAACTCAGATTTCTTGTTCAGAAGCAGCATGTTTTCACCGTGAACTTCTTTTTCTTTCTTTGTGTCCTTTAATTGGAAGAATGTAATCATGGGACTCTTGAATATGCAAACACAACATTTAAGATGGGCTAACCAATATTTCTAAATGCAGTTCTGTACCTGAACATCTCCTTGTGCTTGAGGGCGTAGTAAGCTAGGACCTCTTCCGATGGCCAAATGCCTAGAAGACATGAGAGGATCGAGTGCTTGGTTACAGACATCCTTCTTGAAGACATGACGCGTAAGAATAATGTCTAGTCCAAGCGATTTCAACGTGAAATAAACTTAACATCCATTGGCATGTTTCACACTGCACCCATTTCTCTTGTTGCTGTTGTTTAATCATAGTCAGATTGATGACCCCTTCCCCCCAGAAAAATAGTAAATGGCCCTAGATAAATGTTACTAAATTTCAATCATGGTGAAAACTATCTAAAGCCACCCAAATTAAAAAGACCTACAGATAAATTTTAATAATACTTCTAACAGATTTGATGTAAACTTTCTCTTCACCTAAATAGCAAGCACCAGTTATGAGATGGAAAAATCATTTGGCAGGGTTGGGTGGGTAGGTTAAAACCTAGGAAGCCATTGAATCTTTTTGTTTGAACCCATACTACTGCTTTTGAGAGGCATGATAATTTTTTTCTTCGACTATAAAGGTCAAACTGAAGCATAAAACTAAGAAATTTAAATTTCATCAACATGAGATTCCACCAAGCTCCTGCCCACTACATTCCATCTCAGCTCACTGCCATGGAGTTGGTTCAGACCCCTCGTGACCGCCCAGGACACACTAGGAGCACTACCTGTGTGGCTTTCCGAAGCTGCGAATCTGTAGGGGCACAGAAAGTCTCACTTTTCTCCTGTGGAGTGGCTGGTGGGTGGATTCAAACTCTGACCTGGTGGTTAGCAGCTCAAAATGAAAATCCATTATGCTACCAGGGCTCCTAAATTCCACAAAAGGGGCATTTTTCTAATTTGTCACTTGTAAATCAGAAGTCTTACATGGTCTTCAGACATAGGTGTGAATTTCTTAAGGAAAACATGAACCTATTTGGAAACTAGTTTATATGGCTGACACTCTGATAGGATGATGAGTACTTTTATTCCTTTTTTTTTTATTTTCCAAACTTTGTACAATGATCATGAATTACTCTTATAATCAGAATCGATGCCAAAAAACCCCAAAACCAAACAAAAACTCAGTAATCCCCTCCCACTCTACCCCCAACGAAACTGTTGTCATCAAGTTGATTTAGAATCACAGTGAACCTATTGGACAGTTTGAACTCTCCCGGACGGTTCCCAAGGCTTTCAGTTTTTAGAAAACAGACAGTCAGATCTTTCTCTCCGAGTGACTTGTGTAGATCAAACTGCCGCCTTTTTAGTTAGCAGCCGAGTGCTACCACCAAGTACCTACCACCACGGCTCCAAATAAAAGTCACACTTACAAAAATGATGTTGTCCTCAAGTGGTCAGACCCCGAGCTCAGGCAGGGCACCAAGCCTCCTCCACGGCCAGACATTGAGAAGTCACTTCTTGGAAAGAGCGTACCCGATGTTCTCTGCCTTAGCACCATCCTCTTTGCTGAGAGCACGTGCGAGGAAGCGGAAATACCTAGAAGGCTTGCCAGCCCCTCCCCCAGATGTATTTCCAACTTCAAGGAGTAGAAAATCCAAACATTGCAGAGTAAGGGATACCAAATAGGTGGCAAATTAAACCCGCAAGATTCAATGGTCGGATAGACGAGGAAGCCAAGAGCTTACTCCATAGAGTATTTGCCGCAGAGAAGCTTAGTAAGGTGGACTCATTATCCCAGCCTTCATGGAATTTCTGTTGAAATGACAGTTTGGGGAGAAACAAACAAACAAACAAAGAAAATGAGCATGGAGGGTCTAGAATTAGATTCATAAGGAAAGGTAGGGAGGCAGTGTGAGCCAGAGCTCCTTGACTCAGACTTATTGGTCTCCAGTCTCAGTTCTGTCATTCTCATGACCTTGGACAGGTTAGTCTACTTGCAAAACATGATCATAGTAGCATCAAACTCACAAAATTATTGTGTTAATAAAGCACATGTAAAATGTTCAGAACAGTTCCTAACTCATGCCAAGCTGAAAGGAAAC